CTTTGAGGTATCTACAACATAACTGGAAGAGCTAGAGCAGCTTAGTTAGGTCCACGTATTCTAATAGAGTTAAAGCGTTTGTTATTTGTGGTACAAACAACTGTCGTAGTTCATTCTTTGTCGCATTTTCGGCAATAAGCCGCAAGCGTGCTCGACGATTTGACGTTATGTAACAGGTCAGTTACACATTTACTAGCTTTGACCTTATAACGAGAGCAAGAACGGTGACTGGGGTTTTTCGTGTAATGTCTTGATAGCTTCTGTTTATGTCGAAGCGACTCAAAACAAAATTCCATCGTGAAAAAAGTTCGACTAAATTCCCTTCTGAAAAACACGTGTGTATTTAAGGTGGAAAATGTTTGATATGAGCATTCAATTCTTAAAGGTTTAATTCTATAATCATTTTGTTTAGCTATGTAAATAGATTTAACACGACTTGTACTTTTTGTCTGAGTGAAAGGCGAGCTGCGGGTTTTCCCTTTTCTTTATTTACACTTTCAGATATTACCGCTTAACAAAAATGCACGGGCTCACTGGCTTACAACCTTGGCGAATTCATATGCAGGCCTGGTCRCAAATCAATCACCCAGATGTAAAAATAAGCTTTAAACGATTAAAAACGATTGCATTCAACTTGGATGTTACTGGACCTATTCTTAAATGTTTTTCAATCGAAATTTATCTTTCATTATTGAAATTGTTATTATCATTATTAGCTTGAAATATTGGTACAGAGGAAACTTCAACAGTTCACGCCATATAAGGGATCAAAGGTCCTAAAAAGAACTGGGAACTATGACGTCATACCATTGTGTTTTAGTTCCTCGTGTTTATGTTAAACAGCTATTTGATCCTGGGTGGTTTGTGGGGTCACCGTCTAGATTTTCGGATAATAGGACAATTTAAAAATTCTAATTATTGCTACAATATTTTGAATAAACATACTTTAATCTTAATTCAACTATTTTACTTCGACTATATTGAAGAAATACTCTCTTAAAATAGAAAATCAAGGAGGAATTTTCGTGAAATAATTTGGGTTTCCTGTGTTAAGTCGAGGGAACACCAACATGGCCTTTCTAAACCGCGCCCCTGTCGGTACTTCCCAACCGCGATCTAACCACGCGCTCAGTTATAAGACCGAAATTATCATTGATTATGGACAGTAACTTCCTGTCTCATCGCAAATATTTGCTCTGTTAAAGAGCTTTTTTTTTAAATCTCAAAAATTATAAACCCAAGCAAGCAAGTCCTCGGTTAAAATAATAAACGAGTTAAAAACGACAATTGAATTGCAGGATACATTTCATTTCACAATAGCTATTTAGAAATACGTCGTATTTTTATTCCGGATGCAACCCTGAAAACAATTTCATTATACGACCTTATACAGCTGTTTCAAAAAACGTTGTCGGGGCGAACGGCGATTATCGAAGAATGAATTCACGACCGAAAGGGACTGTGTTGTTAAACTGTTTTCACAAGTACAATTGCACTTATTAAATTCACTTTGCATTGAAATGGAGACTAAATGGAGCCAATGTTTACTACAAACCATCTTACAGTACAAATCAATTGCCATTTCTTTTCAACCTGCACACGTTCTGAAAACGTGTTTTCTTTGATCAATGCAATTGAAATTATAGTTGTACAAAGTTTTATGATCAAAACAACATCTTATCACTTTTCTCTGGCTGATCTGTTAGCCGCATCAGTATTGAAAAGTTTGAGATTTTTACTTGAAATGAAGATTCCTCTGTTGTTTCTATTTTTCATCCAGCTCCTGTCCAATGCTGTTTTGGTTTCATCCCAGCTCCTTCACCCTTCCCTGTTCCGCTCTTTTAGTACTGTACTCCTCCATGTTATCTTTTGTTTCCCCTTTGCCCTGCTTCCCTTGAGGAGTGTCCACTCCCAAGGCTCTCAAACAGTCATATTCCCGCTCTCCCCTAAGTATATGACCAATCCAATTCCATTTTCTTCGGCGTATTTCACTACTAATGTTCTCAACTTCTCCCACTTCCCGACCCTCTCATTTGAAATCTTCTCCCACCATTTAACATGATTTAATCCTTAGGATAGATCTAAGACATTTACATTTACTTTTGGTGTCCAGTTTTTCTCATCTTCTTTGGTCAATTTCCATAAGTTTCGCGGACGTAAATAACAAAACAGGTTCAACTAGCGAGCCAAACATTTTTAGTTTCGTCTTCCTTCCGATTCCTCTCACTAACCTGACCCTCAAAGTTTTAAAGACGGAAAGAAAAGTCATTGACAAAGTTTTAAAAGACGAGAAAACCGGGAATGGCCGAAGAGTCGCAGGTTCAGTTGATAACAGAGCCGACGAAAAAATATAAATAAAGTCTGTGAAAAGCAGAAATTTAGTACAGAGGGAAGCAAATCTAAGTTTTGTTTAATCAACCGAATCGCCGAGGAATTGAAGAAGGAATTGACGAAAGCGTCAGACGACGATAAACCGAAATTTCTCCATGATTTGATTAAATTCGTCGCTGATATCCCGCCACCTTTAGAGAAAACAGCCGCCAGCAAAGTAAAGGAAGAAGAAAAAATTAAACAGGAAGGCGTGTTCTTTGTGGATTCAACGAGTGTCCTACGACGTCAATTCAAGTTAATCGGCCAGATCGGTGAAGCCGAACAGAAAGATAAGTTTACTTATAATTCACTTGTAAGGCAAATAAAATCTGTGTTGGGACAGGGATACCCAATCTCGTACCCAGCGCCCTTTTCCCTCTTACTGCGCATGCTCGAAGAAAAACAAGAGCTCTCTTGTTTTTCGTCGAGCATGCGCAGTAAGAGGGACAAGGGCGCTGGGTACGAGATTGAGGGACACCAAGAAGTTGAAATAGTAGATGCAGTAGTTCGTGCCATTGTGTCTGGTCTAGTCTTGAGGAGTTACCTAGAATCATTTGAGAATCTTCCCCTGGAGCGGCTAAAATAAATTCTACGCAGTCATTATAGTGTAAAAAGCAGTTCAGAGCTCTACTAGAGTTTAGTATCTCTTTGCCAAAACCCCAAGGAAACACCTCAGGCATTCCTTATGCGTGCCCTAATATTAGGCAAAAAATCCTTTTTACTAGTGAGGAGAGTGATGATGGTCTGAAGTATGGGACTGAGCACATTCAACAGTTTTTCTTAAAAACTGGTTTTGTGTGACACCGACGCGCGAAATTTTCAAATATAGTAATCTGAAGTATGCAGTTATCTGTAAGAAACTCAAAAGAACCCGATGAAGCAGAGCTTCGATGTGCTCCGTGACAGGTGTCCCGAGTGGTCCCCCCATAGTCTCCAAATTTGTCAAGTTTTCAGTTTTGCGCGCGCAAGTGGCCTCAGGATAACCTCGACACGGATGGGTTTGGGATATTATTGAGGACACTTTTTTGGATTTTTTTGCCCAAAAACGCGTTTCTATCGATGCCTCTCATCTAAAATAAGAAAACAAAAACGTTGATTTACATATGCTGCCTCAGATAAAACTTCGTTTTTATTTAATTTCGGTGCGAAAAAAGGATTTTTATTGATCGTTTTTGGCTCATTTTTAGGAGAATTTCGAGCGGAGTCTCCTCCCTTGCCACTATATATATATATAGGTAGGGGATATTTTTTAAAACCAATTTATAATGCATTGAGACACTGAAATAGAATAAAAGTAGACCATTTTTTTAAGTAAAATTTTATTTTTAACTATTATAGGTTCAAAGTCACTGCTTTGGCTCCCTGTGGTACAGACTGAAAAAATATCTAAAATTGATGCCGCGCAACAGAGAAGATAATCTCGTATCTATTTTTTAAAAGTCATACTCAAGTCTGACTCACACCACCATCGCCAGTCTAAGGATGACGAGCGTCTGGCCATTCAAGACCTGAGGAGGTTAAAACCATTCATAGAAGTCGCAAAAAGAAGCCACGGGAGTTTCCAGGACATTGGAGCTTCAGCTCTAAGTGGTCTTGACAAGGAGAACCTCGACTCTTGGTTGGACAAACATAAGAAAAACATTTCAGTGGAGTTGTAAATGTAAGTGAAGTCTTTAAAGCAGAGTACAGCTGGGGCAATAATTCAACAGAAAAAGATCAGAATATTCTGTTTTGATTCGATCGAACCGCCATGTTTGTTTTTACTCGATTCCACTTTCTTTTCGGTTGTTTTTGGCCGTTTCAATGGCTCAAACGAGCAACCTGGGGCCGATACCCACGATTCCTGGGTATCACGTGACCAGTCTTTGCCAGGGTCTCCCTCCCGAGTCAACTTTCATTTTAACTTTCAAAATAGCGAGAAGGGAGACCCTGGGGACGAGGTTGTATCTAAAGAAGTTACTTGAGTTCAGTTCGGTAAAAAATTATGATGTCATAAATAACTTATATTACTTAATTCTGTCTTGACTTATTACAAACAAAGACTGTATCGTGAAAATGAAATGCCATTGTCGCAGCTACAGGAAGCCCACGTAAGCGATCCACATGATCGTCTAGTTCACTATCAGTTAATGATGAAGAGCTTTGGTCGGAAGGACCACATATATTTATTGTATATTATTTGTATTATGGCGACATTTACTACAGCTACCAGAATGCTTTGCAAACTTTCTTTTGTAATGCAATTAGTGTCAATTTTTTTCTTAATCTCCAAGGGGATTAAAAATCTGAATAACAATGAAAATGCGCAAGGCTCTCTGGAAATTGTAGTAAAGTTACGACATAATGCAAATGGCCTATTCTGTGAAATCCGATAAAGTCATGGAAATAATGAGTTTGAAGCTATGCTCGTGTTCTTTCACAATTACAATTTTGAAGACTGCAAAATATCGAAAAAAAGCTGAAAGTTTTCATTTTCTTTGCATAGAATAGAGATGTATTTAAGAAGAGCGGGAATCGTCTACTTAGTGAGACTACATTCATNAATATCTAGTATTCAACAATCATCGTAAATGTCGACTGATAATGATGATAAACATGTACTGATAAAACAAGCATAACACCCTGATCAGCGCTGGCATATTCTATAAAATAGGGGGGAGTTGACGGGAATGATCCTTGCCTCGCTCTTTTTCCTTGCCTTGTTAGCTTATCTGCTGTCGCCAATTCATGCACCTTTTTGTGTTCGCTGTTTGTGCTACCTAAGAAATGTAGACTAGCTCACCGCATTAATTTATATTGTAAATTTTACAATGCATTTTCCAGGTTTACTGTGACGAGAAGACTGGAGGAGGAGGATGGACAGTCTTTCAGAGAAGAAGACGGTTCGGTGGACTTTTACAGAGGATGGGCCGACTATAAGAAAGGGTTCGGGGACCTCAAAGGCGAGTTCTGGCTTGGTCTCGACAAGATCCATCGATTGACCCATCAAACACGAAACCGTCTTCGTGTTGAGATTGAAAACACTAAAGGAAAGAGCGCGTATTCCGAGTACGATTTCTTTGATGTGACCAGTGAACGAAGCAAATACAAGTTAGGTCTTGGAACTTACTCAGGTAAGAAATATGTACCACTAATACTCCATTTTCGAATTCAAAGCGAGAAACCGCTGCATGCTTTATTTGACAACAGATTCTTTTGCGCAATCTGATCTGGCCAAACACCAATGAGAGTACGATGATAAAATGTCGTTATTGAAATAGACTTGGAATCTCTGAGTTGAGACTAACCCTGTGTTCCCATAGGACCTAAGGTTTAAGCCTTCTGGAATACAGGATTAGCCTCTACTCGGGGAGAATGTAATTAAATTTTAAGTGCTATTGTACTAACAACATTTTCTCGTGATTTCTTTTGTGTTTGGTGATGTCTTTGCGTAAAGAATCTGCTCTCAATTAAAACAGTGGTGATTCACTTTTAATTCAAAAGTTCAGTATTCCTTTCTTGCGAGATGAAAATTTCAACCGCTTGATTGCATATGACGTACACCGTTAAACTATATTAAAATCTAATACATAAGAGAATGCCATAAATATAGATATTTTAAAAAGCTAATTTATTATTTCAGGTACAGCAGGTGATTCCCTGTCCTATCATCGTAATGTGGCCTTCAGTACCAAAGATCGTGACAATGACAAGGCCGACCACAACTGTGCAGTGAGACACAGTGGTGCCTGGTGGTATAACTGCTATTATTCCAGCCTTAATGGTGCGTACAACTACCGCGGTACCATTTCAGACCGTGGCGTGACCTGGTACCACTGGAAAAACATGAAAAAGATGAGACTGTAAAAGAAATGAGCCGATGACGTAATCATGTATGGTAATAACCGCAAAGCACATAAGAGATATAGATAGGTAAAACAGCATCAGTTCAATTTATTGACTGTAAGAATAAGCTTTGACAATTAAAATTAACGATTGCATTCAGCCTGGATGTTACTGGACTTATTCTTAAAAGTTTTTTAATCGAAATATATCTTGAAATTATTATCACAGTGTTTTAATGTATTGTACTGCTTTTCATTTAAATATACCTTTTTATATTTTGAATATAATACATTTTTTATCGCTTTTTACTTAAGGTGGTATGATACCCAAAAAATCCTGCCATTTTGAAGTAAATTGACAACATTATTTTCCAGTTCGTAGCAATATATTTAAGGTGAAGTACCCTTTACTATAGTCTAACACGTACACATAAACGGTAAATTCAGTGAAACTAGTTTCGTTCAAAAACCTCTTCAGTTCACTGAATATATATTCCTACGATTATGAAAAAGTCTTTTGAAGTCAAACTTGAAACAATTTCAGAAAAATACTTTCCAGTCGATTGTGCCTAAAAATTGCATGAAATTTGACTGGAATAATGATTGATAGCGCAGTAGTGCAATGAACCTCAAAAACCTTGACATTGTTACAATGCTCAGTAATATCAAGGCTTTTTATCAAAGGACGCTAGCTAAAACTATAGCCTTTTTGTTTGTTTACTTGTTTATTTTTTGTTTATGTAAACCATATAACAATTTTAGGTTTCATTGCATACATTGAGATATTAGCATTAATGAATATTCTTAGTTTGGATTGTATTATAGTTTCAGAGCTAGAACTGTTACAGTGCCTTATAATCATGTATTTTGGGTGTGGCTTGGTTACCATAGCAACAACGAGTGCTAAAATTGGTATCAAATGATTTGTCTCAATAAGGATAATGATATGTGAAATAATAAAATGGTCTTTTCCTTGAAATTATTGTTATCTTGGGTATCATACCACCTTAAAGGTACTAATCGATATTGTGTTTACTGTACTTACGTTACGTCACGCATTACGTCATTAACTGTAATTGGCTTAATTATTCACTATCAGTTAATGATGAAGAGCTTTGGTCGGAAGGACCATATATATTTATTATATATTATTTGCATTATGGCGACATTTACTACAACTACCAGAATGCTTTGCCAACTTTCTTTTGTAATGCAATTAGTGTCAATTTTTTTCTTAATCTCCAAGGGGATTAAAAATCTGAATAACAATGAAAATGCGCAAGGCTCTCTGGWAATTGTAGTAAAGTTACGAYATAATGCAAATGGMCTATTCTGTGAAATCCGATAAAGTCATGGAAATAATGAGTTTGAAGCTATGCTCGTGTTCTTTCACAATTAYAATTTTGAAGACTGCAAAATATCGAAAAAAAGCTGAAAGTTTTCATTTTCTTTGCATAGAATAGAGATGTATTTAAGAAGAGCGGGAATCGTCTACTTAGTGAGACTACATTCATGTAAAAATCTAAGGGAAAACTTGATTAAATTACAGGAACTACCTTCTATGTTATAGGGATTTCGCAAATCGCATTTTAAAGAAAAAAAAGAGGATGTTCCATTGTGAGATATGGATTATATCTTAATCTCGTTAAAACTGAAATTGAAAATGTCGATTCTCACATGCAATGGGTTTAGTAAATTGAAACTCAAGTAAGACTTAGTTTATAAAGAAGTAAAGAGCTGGTCTCTGCAAGAATCAAGCAAAGTGGGAAATGAAGATTTTCGGCCTAAGCTCAAACTTTGTGTGCAGGTAGACCAACAAAAGCATGCACAAAACACCCTATATTAGTTGCCGTTGAAACGGTATTTTCCGCGTCAGGTATGCACTTTATAAAAAATGAAAGGACTCACAAAATGCTTGCTTTAAATTTAAAAATATTGCATTTGAAGTTATTAGTCACAGATGTGCCAAAAGAGAGATCAAAGTGAGGAATATAATCGTATTCATTCTTTGGCGATTTGTCCAATATTACATGTTCCATGGTCTATTCCTTTRTGCAGATTTTTGAATAAAAAAATCTCGTCTTACTTTGCTTTAGGCATTCTTGCTTTCCTATCCGAAAAAAACTCGTCAACTGTAGCCATCTGTAGAGAATCTAGTAGATCTACAAACGAGTCGCACAATTCACCTTCGGTAATGTCAGTGTTAATCAATTTTGATTACATTTTTTTTATGTTATTGGATGGTTMTATCTTCACATGTGAGGAATGCTATACGTGCTTCTGATTGGACGTATCAATATTTTCACCGGTGGCTGAAATACAGCATCCAAATTTTTATTTCTGCACTTTATTGAATGAAAGTCTTTTTATATTCATGGTAAAGGGAGTGACTTACTTAAAAGAAGTCAAAAATTCGAGTCATATTTGCCTAAACATATATCCGTCAAAGAGAAGGTCATTTAATTCAGTGCAGGCAACATTTTGGCACTGAAACACTGTTAACTCGCAATACTATTGCTTAACCATGCTCCTTTAACCTTTTGGAAGCCGACTATGTTTTCTCGGTTAGTCAATGTATTTTCAATGAATTACACTTTATTACACTTGCTTATTAAACCTCGCCGTTTTCTGAAAATATGTCTAAAACAAAAGAGTAATGTTATTCATTTAGTGAAAATCAAATAGAAATAAAAGCTAGTGTGTTAATGTTTTCGAAATTGTGTATACAGGCTCACAGTAAGCCTTTGTACTCGTTTTATTAAATAAACATCAAAGAAAATGTCAAAGCTCTTTTTAATTTTTGTTTAGACACGCACAGTAACTTTGTAGGCTCCGTGAGATAAGGGTAAATCTCTTCACTTAAATTAAGTCTGCATGTACCTCTGCAAATCAAGTAGCTGTTTCGATCTCCTAGTAATTGATAAATCSATCGATTGTGCGTCAAATTCAGTTAAAAAATCTCGTGGGTTCACATTTACCCATTAACCATGTACTATCAACATTTTTCGTCGAAAAAACTCGTTGGTTATTCAGTGTAAACTTTGCTCGAAAACYGAAACAGAGCTGCGTAGAAAAGATATCTACTCATTTCAACAGTGCTCACTGTAAGATTAAAATGTTTTACATTTACTATGTAAGGACAATAGCGATAGAAACTAAATAGCGAAAGTTATATGGACTTTACACTCGAATGTAAAACACTTATGTAACGACGGAAAGTTATTTTACGTTAATGGTTAAGTTAATCCAATCTTGAATTTTACAAATTCTAAAAAAGGAATAAAAGTGCTTCTCAAAACGCCACAGCTGATTTCATACAGTCTTACAAGTGTTTGGAAATTGAATGTTAAGATGTTGTAAATATGGAGTAAAATATGACAAGTCATTAAAACATAAAGTGTAAGTCMTTGAAAACAATTTCGCAATATTGTTTTAATTTCACAAAGACCTAACTGCTGAGTAAACGGCCACTATGACAACGGAAAATTTCATTTTATCATCAATGACATACCATTATTAGAACAGATGCTTTAAAAGGTTTTCTGGGAAGAACAAGAAAAAAATCATTTTAAGCCGCAGTTTGCTCAGAGAAAACGAGCGAGGTTTTAAGAGTTTTCTTCATTTCTTTTCATCTTAATGATGCAGTTTGAAACATCYTTCMTTATTGCATCACTCCTTGTTGTGTTTTTGCAMCACGTAGCATCATCAGAACCAAACTTTATTGAAGATGAAGATGGTCTCTATCTAAAGGCAAAGCACCAGGTATCTGTATTGTATTATGCGGTATATATGTAGACGCTTTGCTTTGTTTTGCTTTGCTTTGCTTTGCTTTTCTTTGCTTTGCTTTGCTTTGCTTTGCTTTGCTTTGCTTTGCTTTGCTTTGCTTTGCTTTGCTTTGCTTTTCTTTGCTTTGCTTTGCTTTGCTTTGCTTTGCTTTGCTTTGCTTTGCTTTGCTTTGCTTTGCTTTGCTTTGCTTTGCTTTGCTTTGCTTTGAAACTTTTTTCGGTCTCAAATTCGCAAAAAAAAAAATTAATGCGCACTCTTGCACATCTCACACAATCAGACCACAAAGGTATCTGTCACGTGACTTCGGCTAGTCCTAACTCAAGACATAGGAATTTATTTTTTCGTAGTGGAAGCGATGCAAAAAATCGTCTGATTGTGATGTAGGTTACACCTGTCGCAGAAGATGGTGTTACCCAAAGCATACCTGCAACATCAATGCCCATTGTCCTTCCAACCAATACTGTGATACCTCTGACAATGTATGTAAACCTGGACAACGAGTGTGTAAGTCACACCAGGAGTGTGGGTATTACATGTACTGTAAAAATGGAAAATGCACAAACAAAGAGTGTCACTATTACCGCAGATGCAGTTATGGCTCAAAGTGTGTAAAACCAGGTATTCAAAGCAATTATGATTTCAAAGATTAACTCTAGTAAACCTCTTGATATCAAAGTAATATAGTCAACGTCTTTCCGTGGTTTACTGGTGAAAAAATAAATCACTTAAACCACCTCTCTGTCGGTAAAATACAATCAAACGAATTCAAACTCCAACGAACACCATTTATCAAACAAAAAGAAACAACAAAATGTAGCAAAACATTGTTGGTGTTAAGCTGAGTGATCCAGCATTTTTCGACGTTTATCAGTTGTGTGAATGTTTCAGACTCGCAGCAAGGAATTGGTACATGACAAAATTTAATAAGAATATTTTACGCATTTGAATATATGAGAGAGTACATCACAAAATGGGTCTTGTCTCTGGCGGAAACATCCAGTAGTCCAAAAGACGCAATTTATTCACTCGCTGCATCAAAAGGTTCTTAATTCTTTAACCCCCATTTGTGCTGTCCATTCTCATCATTGTACTGCCTGCAAGGAAGGTCACCTATCAATGTCAGCTTTTTTGATCAGTAATTTCGGCTTTTATTACCAAGACAAAAGGAAACTGCACGCGTTGTGTTTGGGTCTATCGTGCAGGTGCATGACGGTCAATGCGCGGTATGGAGCAGCTGCGTAGCATCGGTTGATTTGCGTCTTGCGTGCTCTGTATTAGTAGGTTCAGGGCACTATGAGAGAGTACATCACAAAAGGGATCTTGCCTCTGACGGAAACATCCAGTCGTTAAAAAGACCCAATTTATTCACTCGCTGCATCAAAAGGGTCTTAATTATTTGGCCCCCTTTTGTGCTATCCATCCTCATATATTTGTATGGAAACTAGACAGCGGAGCATTCTCATGACAACTTATTTG